AAGGCATTGGCCAAAAGTGAAGATGGAGTAAGAGGTATTGGAGGCTTGAGGAGACAGGAGAAAGTGTGAAATTACCTTTCAGGAGAACGGGAGAGTGAGTAGAGTAGGGCCCATTTGTGGTTATAAAGTATAAATAGAGGCTAGTTGGTGTGATTCTGTGTTTTCTCCAACCATGTTCAAATGTGAGGGTGATGACTTGGATTATGTGGAGAACTGAATTTAACGAGGGTTGGGATTTTGTTGTTGAGTCAGGAGAGAAGGAAGGAAGTTAAGGATATATTGCAAAGATGGAGTTCCACTGAAAGACCTCAGAGTCTAAGCTGTACGGAGAGGAGGGCGTGAGCAGAGTGAACAGCTGGTGGGATCACTGGATTTTAGGGCCTCTGGAGGGAAAAGACAAGAGGGCTGAGGACAGAATTCTAGATTTTATCAATATTTAGTGGTAAAAGTACCAGCAATGAGATAGAAAAGGAAAAACCTGGTCGTAGAACAGAAGAGCTCAGGAGGAGAGAGCGGGAGGAGGTGGTTTATCTTGTGAGCTTTTGTGGCTTCGCTGGCATCACTCTTCATGCAGGCCACAGTTCTCTGTCCACAATTCTGAAATCTAGAGTCCTGAAAACTTAAAAATAAATTATTGCGATAGATTTATATGACATAACATTTACCATTTTAACCATTTTTAAGTGCACAGTTCACTGGCATTAAATATATTGGTATTGTTGTGCAACCATCACCACCGCCGTCTCCGGAACTTTTTCTTCTTGCAAAACTGAAACTCTGTGCCCGTTAAACAGTAACTATCCATCCTCCCAGCCCCTAGCAACCACCATTTTATTTCCTGTCTTCATTAATTTGACTGTTATAGGGATCTCATATAAGTGGAATTATACAATATTTGTCCTTTTGTGTCTGGCATATTTCACTTAGCATAATTCCCCTAGGTTCATCCATATTATAGCATATGTCAAAATGGCCTTTCTTAAGGCTGAAAAATATATACCACATTTTGTTTATCCATTCAGCCATCAAGGGACACTTGGATTCTTTCCACCTTTTGGCTGTTGTGAGTAATGCTGCTCTGAGCATTGGTGTACGAGTATCTGTTCTGGTACCTGCTTTCAGTTCTTTGCGGTGTGTACCTGGAAGTGGACTTGCTAGATTACATGGTAATTCTGGTTAATTTTTTTGAAGAACCACCATGCTGTTTTCCACAGCACCTGTACCATTTTACATTCCCACCAGCAGTGGGACAAGGGTTACAGTTTCTCCACATCCTCACGAGCACTTGATATTTTTCGGTGTTTTGTCTTGTTTTTTTTTAAAATAATAACCATCTTTATGGGTATGAACTAGTATCTCATTGTGGTTTGATTTGTATTTCCACAGTGATTAATGATGTTGAACTTCTTTTCATGTACTTATGGGCCATCTGTATATTTTCTTTGTGGAATGAAAAAGATTTTTTTATAACTCATTTTGCATTAAGATCCCACTTTACCTCAACTGAGTTGTTGGCAAAGCATGATCTGAACTAACTTGAGACTGTTAATAATGCTTTACTTATCCCATTTAGTGTGCATATTCATATGTTTTGCTAACGAAATATTAATGTGCCTGATTATGGAGTGCTGCTCCAAATTCTGCTGGGGCTGTTGATTTAATACATGTGTATGTACTATAATAATACTTCTCTAAAATCAGAAAAATTCAGAATTCAAAGCACATTCTACTCCAGTCCAAGGGTTTGGGATAAGAGTTTGTGGACTTGTAGAATCATTTCTTTGGAAAACTAAATTCCAGTTCAAAAAAACTTACAAACTTTTGGAATTTTGGGAGAAATTAATTGAGGGCTACTTATACTTCTTATCTCACCTCTCTACCCATTTTGTTCTTTTCTGTCTTTATGCTTCACTCTCACTGTTCCTACCCTGGTGTTTTTGCCTCTTCACCTCTCCGAGCCTTGTTTTTTCCATCTGTAAAGTGGGCATGTTGTTTCTACTTTAAGGAATGGATTGTGGGGATTAAATGAGACAAGAGTATAAAGCTCAGGGTGTGGCACCGTCATTGCTCCACAACCCTGATTGTCTTTATTCCTTCAGTTCATGCTCTCTCCATTTGGGGCATGTAAACTCATTCTTACGTAGCTCTTTCATCATGTGACTTGCAATCCCAAATGAATGGAATTGCTCACTCTAGTGTTCCTGTGAGAAAATATTCAAATAACCAGAAAGACAACTCTTCTCCCTACATTTTACAGTCTCATGCTGATAATAGAGGGGCTATCCACCTTCTCCTGTCACCTCAGAATGTCATTTCCTGGTGGGGAAGGGGAAGGGAAGGTAGGGGGGAGCTATCTAATACACACACAGGGAAAAGAAGCAGAGCTGTAGTTACATAAATTGGTAAATTATTTACATAATTTTGGCATTTGTACCAGATCCAGAGTTGAGGCAGGAGTGACATTTTTTATATTAGAAATTTGTAATTGGGGCCGGGCACGGTGGCTCATGCCTGTAATCCCAGCACTCTGGGAGGCCGAGGCGGGCGGATTGTTTGAGCTCAGGAGTTCGAGACCAGCCTGAGCAAGAGCGAGACCTTGTCTCTACTAAAATTAGAAAGAAATTAATTGGACAACTAAAAATATATAGAAAAAATTAGCCTGGCATGGTGGCGCATGCCTGTAGTCCCAGCTACTCGGGAAGCTGAGGCAGGAGGATCGCTTGAGCCCAGGAGTTTGAGGTTGCTATGCCATCAGCCATGGCACTCTAGCCCGGGCAAGAGAGTGAGACTCTGTCTCAAAAAAAAAAAAAAAAAAAAATACATATATATATATATTTATGCCCTTGATTATATTAGATACCTGCTGCTTTGGAAAGTCAAATGTTTAATGAAAAAGGAATTTGGGCAAAAATTTTAAAATAAAACGACCTAGAAAATGTGACCTTGTAATTGAGATATTAACATTTGATTTTGGCCAGGACTGGGTTAGTGAGTGTTGTAGATGCAGCTGTTGCTTCCTCCCTGTGTAGCACAAGAGCCTTCTTAACTTCTAAATCTCATACACAGAAGCACCCTCACTCCGGAGGCTTGCTCCGGGGAGTTGGGAGTGGGGGCGGGCACTGGATGAGCGCATGTGCGGGAGCCTGCGAAGGTTGGGTGGTGTGGGCAGAGGGGAACCTGCCGCGAGTCCAGTTCTGTGCAGACTCTCAGTCGCGGTGATGTGCAAGCAACTGTACTGGGACTGGATATCTACTTTCACATCCGGCATCCGCCTGGAAGAGCAGCGGGCAGCTGATGGGAAACCTCTCAGACAACAGGCAGTGCCACAGCAGGTGCATGTCTTCAACTTTTGGGCTTCCTGTTTGGTTCTTGCCACGGAAAGTTAGATTTGATTTGTGGTGTTTGATTATTCTGAAATTTTTCTGTACTACTATTGTTATTTTGAGCTGTGATAATGGATTAAAAGATATACTTTATGAGCTAGAATACTTGGTTCTGGCATGTAGTTTAAAGAGCAGCTTTTTAAAAATCTTTTTACAAAGTTCTATTTTGGTTTTGAGAAATGAAAAAAAATCTTACTTTAATCCTGCTTTGTGTATTTCTTCACTTTTTTTTTTATTTGGAGGAGCCCCATCACTTGATGTTACAACACAATTTATCCAATTAATAGATGTTTGTCTTTTGTTTTGAGGCATCTAAGGAAGAGCTCGAGGTTTCACTTGGCTGTATTCCAGTATGAAACCTGAGATAAATCCCTTGGCCTTTTATAAAAGAGAACAGTGGAAAGACCAGGAAGAGTTTTGAAATGAGTTGTAGTGAAGAGACTTCTTCCTTATAAATGAATTTATATAAAACCAGTGAATAAAAATCTCTGATCATTTTAGTTTTGTTATAAGATGTGTGTGTGTGTGTGTGTGTGTATGAGAGTGTGTGTGTCTGTAGGCTCCAACAGGGGACTTTTAATAATCTCTTAGTGGTCTTTAAAGCATAAAATTGAAGGATAATTTTGGTTGTTCTTTTGATGAAGAGTTATTAATACTTGTATTATATTAGGCTAAATTCTAGTTTTGTCAGTTAATAATATTCATGGAGCATCTGTGACACACACACACACACACACACAGACACACTCCCACACACATGTATATATGAATCTGTTGTTAGATTGGGTACAGAGCAAAACAAATTGCCCTTGAATTTAAGGTTTTAAAACCCAGTCTTTGTTGTCTTTAGCAATGGCTTATGTTTGAATTGTTGGTATGGAAGTCAAGCAAGTCATAAAAGCTTTAAAAGTTATTCTTTTTTTCAGTATAGTTGTTCAGATTATTCCAGGGATAAAGGGCAGAGAGATTGTTTTCATTATAAACAGAAGGTAGAAAAAAGGGATAGTCTATGTATAACAAAGTATCCTTTTCTTTGGTCAAATCTATGCAGAACTACTAATAAAGGGAATTTTAGGTATAATGTGAAATGAAGACTCTCTTGGTATTTGTTTTGTCATATTCTTTTTATACTGTGAACATCTACTCTCCTAACTGTAAAATTATCCTTTTCTGTATGTGTTTACATGTTCAGTAGGTCATTTCCTTTGTTGTCAGCTGAGGTGGTTATATGTATGACTTTGGCAGTGTTCCCCCCAACACATACTTGAAAACAAATTATATTACCAAATGCCAGCAGTTTCTATTTAATAACTAAGTCATTGAGTGAGTTTAGTTGAGGAAAATGTTGTTAGCATTATTATATATAGAAAGTGGGATGATACCAACTGCATTTGGTTCTAAGAGATTTAATAGCATTTTTATTCTTTATTTGGGTCCTCTATTTAAAGAATAATACAGCTTATTTCAAATAAACTTGTTAGCTTGTTCTTGGCTTTTTTGTTGTTGTTGTTCTCCTATGGAATCCTGAGACTCAAGACGACATTTAGATTCAGATCCGCTTGTTATCTTGGTGTATCTAATTTAGCTAACTTTTGAACGTCTTTCTTGACTGCACAGAAAGTTGGAGTGACTGGTCCCCCTGACCCACAAGTCCGTTGTCCTTCCGTCATTGAATTTGGGAAGTATGAAATTCACACCTGGTACTCCTCCCCGTATCCTCAAGAATACTCAAGGTATGTTTTGAGAGACCCTTTACCTTCTGTTTTTAGATCCTTAGAACCCTTGAACAAGAAGGATCTTGAAGATGTTTACTCTAGTTCATCTTTTTACATTTACATTTGAGAAAACTGGGGGCTTTTAAATGCCATAATAGCAGCATGCTTTGGCAGCCACTTAATGCCAGTTGACTTTAGATTTTCTCTTCTGTAACCTGTCCGAAAGCTGTTAGGATTAGAAACCTGACACATGGTCAGAGTAAAAGGGGAATGTCTTCACTCCTTACACTAATAATTGTTTTAAAAACAAAAGAATCGTGGCTCACGCCTGTAATCCTAGCTCTCTGGGAGGCTGAGGCGGACAGATTGTTTGAGCTCAGGAGTTCGAGACCAGCCTGAGCAAGAGCGAGACCCCGTCTCTACTAAAAATAAAAAGAAATTAATTGGACAATTAAAATATATAGAAAAAATTAGCCTGGCATGGTGGTGCATGCCTGTAGTCCCAGCTACTCGAGAGGCTGAGGCAGGAGGATCGCTTGAGCCCAGGAGTTTGAGGTTGCTGTGAGCGAGGATGACGCCACGGCACTGTAGCCTGGGCAACACAGTGAGACTCTATCTCAAAAAAAAAAACAAAACAAAAGAATCATATATATAAGTTAAAATAACGTTTTACTTGAGTAGCCTTTGATCTGAATTTTTATAATTTAACAAACTTAGTGAACGGTTTGTTTTCCCAAGAATAATTGCACAAATGGTATAAAACTATAAATAAATAGCTTGGGTTTCCAGATATAAAAATTGATCACTCACCAGCTTTTTGGGATAAGACAGCATGCTTGGTGGAGCCAATTTGGTTTCATGACTCAGCTCCGAAATTTATAAACTGTGTAACATTAGAAGTTACCCAACTACTCTGTGCCTGAGTTTCCTCATCTGTAAAATGGGGGTACTAATATTGCCAACTTCATAGGGTTATTATGAACATTAAATGAGTTAAAACATGTAAATCACTTAGAAACTGGTAAGTGTTCAATGTCAGTTATTATATTTTTTTCTTTAGGATTGAAATTAAAAGAGATGAAATAAGTGATCGAAAATTAAACACTGGTTTATTTGAAGTACAACAGTCATGTTAATGCTCTCTAATCTGTAAACTACTTAATGCCTCACTTTTCCATCTTGCAGGGTGTTGTAAGGAGTAATAAATTATGGTGCTTTGTGGATTAGACACATGGTCAAAGTAGTCTTATCGTATAACTTTTTACCTATCTAGTAACATTGCCTGTCTAAAACATTAGCAAAATTAATTATGACAGCTTTTATTTAGTGCTCTACAAGAAATAGAGTGCTTTAACATGAGTTATTTCCAAGAAGCTGGGAGTAAGCCAGCATAGTTATCAGAAGGGCCATCCTGTAAAATTCAGTGTCTTTTTATTTTTCTTACTTCCATACAATGTAATAACTGCTTATCTGGTTTCCAAGTCTGTAGCAGAAGTAGAAAAATAGAAGTAAGAATGCCATTATAGACATTGAGTTCCATGAAGTAATAGCCAACGAAAAAAGAGGAAAAAACAAAACTCCAAAAAACTAATTGAGAGCCATTTACTGTAGGGTCAGTTAGCGCTAAACACTGTGGTATATCTTTAAGGCAGCACTCTGTATCAGGGAGTAACAATTAATTTGACTTTAAGGGAAGTTTAAATTATACTTATTTCTATGTTATTATATATTTACATGATATTTACGTATATGCTAAAAGAAGGCAGGAAATTTCTCAACTACTCATAGAACTTAGGTGTTCAGGATAACTCATTTCTCAGGAGTTCTGGGTAGCCAAGATCTTGTATGATCAAGAAGAAATATGCTGAAGAATTAATTTTCTTCATCAGGCTTTAAAATAACATTATTTGATCATATTTTTAGTGAGCTTTTTGCAAGCTGTCCAAATCACAAGAATGCTCAAGTTAGGAAAGAAAGCTATTCAAGGTGTCTGTCCACTGTTCCAGGGATTGTGGCACATGTAGATTGAAACCACAGGCCCCTTGTCTCTTCTACTCAAGGAGAGGAAAGGAAATTAATAGGTTCAAGAATGGGAATAGAGAGCCAGCCTCAGCACTCACTTTTCGGAGAATGATGAGAATGGAACCATGAAATGTGGTCTTTTAGGATATTGAAAAGATTCCTTGAAAATGTTGCTTTTGTTTTGATGAGATTGTCACTAGAATCAGGTGTGAGGGAACCTGGTTATCAGTGAAGGAGTAAGCAGTGCCAGCGGAAAAGAAATTACCAAAAAGTATAACAGGGATCATAGTAGAAAGCAAGAGTAGGATGGGAACTGTAAATTTCATCACCTTCCTTAAGCAGAGTTTTAGACATTTCCTATACATTTCCTTATCCGTTGTGGAGGATTCCTTGAGTTTTCCATTAGAAAATATTCTGTAACTTAGTAGATTCTTTAGTAATTATGACTTTCTTCTGTCTGTATATTCAAAGTTCTCTTAATTTTTTTGAAACTACACCTATCTATTTAAATGAGTTTAAGCTGTTTTACTTCTGAGTTCTTTTAAACTTTAGTTAACTAATATATATGTTTATAGATCTTTTATTTTCCAAATAATAAATCTCTATCCTTAATTTTGGTAATATCTATTTAGGCTAAATTACTTCTAAATTATTTTATTTTATTTTATTTTATTTTTGCTCCTATTCTACTCAGAGATAAATTATTATTAAAGGTTTTAAACACTTTTTTAAAAATTCCAAATCCCAGAGCATACAAAAACAGGGCAATTGGAGCAAGAAAATAGAAAAGATCACAAGAGGAAAGCTCTTTTGGAAAGTGGGATTATGCTTTAGGAAGTGTCCCATAGTATTCAGATAGTTGTGTGTACATCGTATATTAAGTAATCTTGCATCCCTGACTTGAAAAAACAAAACAAAAACAATGAAGCAGTAATACTGTTTCATTTGAAACAGTCTGATTAAGTCTCAGACATTGAAGAATGTAAAACAGAGTTTAAACCATAAGTTCTTCCAACAGAGCCATGTGGTGCCCACACCTTGAAGAGGCAGGCTCATAGAGATCCCTACTCCTGCCATTAAAAACATGACTTAGAGGGGTTGAGGGCAAAGAAATTGTGATCATGGGATACCCTCTGCTCCTAAGCTGCTTAGAGTTTAGCTTCATTGTAACTTCTTTGCTATGAGATCATTTTGAGATCCTAACAAGGTAGATTCCTATGTAATAGAGGAACTCAGGAAGCCGCCTCTGCCTTTTGATTCTCTTCCTTACTTGATTTGATGCGTAGATTATGAGATTGTCACTAGAACCAGGCTGGATTATTCTCATAATCCCAGTTGAAGAAGAAACCAAACAGAATCCTGAATGCCTTCAGCTATTAAATGATTAAGTAAAATGGATGAAAGGATAACAACAATAATAATCATAAATAATAACAGCTGTAATCTCTGTTCGTTGAGCTTGGTACTGGAGTGCGCATTCCTGGAATAATTCTGTGAGGTAGACATTACTATCATCGTTTTACAGACCAGGGCCTAGCAAATGCATTCAAGACATACAGCTTGTAAGTGGCAGACCAGATTTAAGCTCATTTCTCTTTTACCACATAGCCGTAACTTTTGTGCTACTCTGTGTAGCATGGGTATTTAGATTTATCTCACTTGGCTTGTACCAAAATCTTTGATTTAAGTAATAGTTGGTATAATTTTTATTGTTATATTAAAATTTTACTACAAGTTGACCTATTATAAAGGCCACACAAACTGCTACTATCTTGGCAATGTTCAAAAGCTAGAAGGTACTGTAGGAATTCCTGAGAAGAATGTTCACATCACCCTAGAGATAGGAGAAGCGTACCTGGCTGCAGCCCAGCCCTCATGTCCCAGGCAGCATGGTGGCAGACTTGCAAGTAAACTTCAAGTACACAGGCAACACCCCATGATGCAGCTGATCACAGTGACCATACAGCTACCCATGTGGTAGTCGAGACGTAGTCGCTGTCAAGAACAAGGCCACCAAAAACAGCCCCTAGCAATATTCTCTAGGGCTAGGAATATTCATAATCTCCATAACTACATTTCATTTCATGTAGTCTAATGTTCTTCCTATATGATATGCTTTTGCAATGAGAGAACTGCAGCTATTTATGCTATTACTAAAAAGAAATGTTTTGTTTTACCAGCAGCTTTTTCAGATGATTCCCTTTAAATTAACAATGTCTTCTAAGTGGGCTTGGTTCTAAATAAAGTAAGGGACTTTTGAAATGTTTTGAGCAAGAACTGGATTAGAATACAGTGAATCATAATGCTTGCTTTTACTTTATTATTTTGCATATGATAAGGTTAACTAAAGTTTTTTTTTTTTTTAAATCATCAATAAGATGCCATAGATCTTGGTAATCTAAGGAAATGGCATGAGTTCATAATTTACCAGATGAGATGGTAGTAATTTTCTCAGAGATTTCATTTCTTCTAATGTTTTCTCAAGCAACTGGGTTACTGCTAGAGCTTTAAAAAGATTTGGCCTTTTCTTATAGGCCTTAGGAAATAAAGTTTTCTTTTCTTTTCTTTTTTCTTTTCTCTTTCCTCGCTTCCTTCCTCTGTCCCTCCCTCCCTCCCTTTTTTCCTTCTTCCCTTCCTCTTTTCCTCCAGAAAAATAATTAGCACTTATTGTATATTTATTATTTTTTAATTGACAGATAAAATTGTATGTATTTATCATGTATAACATGTTTTGAAATACAGACATTGTGGAATGACTAAATCTAGCTAATTAATATAAATGTACTTTATTTTCATGTCTCTGTACTGAGATCTAACAGTTGGATTGGACACTCTTAAAGTTGGCATTTATCTTTACCATAATTTGGAAAGCTTAGTGGTCTGTCACTGTTTCTTTTTTTCTTTAATTTTTCTTTTCTAATACTTTAAAAAGTGCAGAATTTTATTTGGGTTTCTCAGATTCACATTATAGGAAATATTTAGTTGTTAATATTTAGCCCCCAAAGTGAAACAGTACTCAGGTTGTTTTACTGCTGTATCTTCATATTGTGACAAGTTAAAATTGCTCTGTGCACAGATAAATAAAGGTAAGTAATAGAATAGTTAGGGAGAGGCATGCCATCCATTACATTTATTCAGGGAGAACTCATTCTTCTGCCTTCATTTTAAGAAGAAATTATTCAAAATCCAGATGTTTGGGCAGACAGTCTGGCAGTTGTGGGTCACCTATAAGACTTAGTTTAGGCCGGACATGCTGGCTCGCGCCTATAATCCTAGCACTTTGGGAGGTGGAGGCAGGAGGCTCACTTGAGATCAGGAGTTCAATACCAGCTTGAACAAGAGTGAGACCCCTTCTCTACAAAAAATAGAAAAATTAGCCAGGCGCGATTATGCGAGCGCCTGTGGTCCCAGTTACTCAGGAGGCTGAGGTGGGAGAATCACTTGAGCCGAGGAGTTTGGGGTTGCTGTGAGCTATGGTGACGCCACTGCACCTTAGCTGGATGACAGAGCAAGACCCTGTCTCAAAAAAAAAAAAAAAGCTTAGTTCACAGATTTAGTGCCTGTATTAGATGATGAAGTTTATAATTGGGACTATTTCGAGATTTGTAGCTTTGATGATAAAGAAGGAAGAAGCTATTTATCTTGCTGCCATTCCGGCAGGATGCGAAGGAAATGCAGAGTAGCCTACGGTTCATCTCTTTCCATGCTCTTGCCTCCTGCTTCTTGACTTTAATTTATGTCATTCGTTGTTTCACTCAGTACTTTATTTTGGAATGCTTGCACTAGTGATATAATTTCAGGTTGTATTAATGTGGCTAATATTAGAGATTTTGAAAAACAATATTATATATTATAGACATTTAAAAATATTATACCATAACAGTGCCTTGGAAGCTGTATTCATTGTGCTGAATGGCAGTTTTAAAAATAAGATTGAGGTTATATGAGAAGAATTAAAGCACATTGTGAATCCCCAAGGAGAAAGAAAAAAAAATCACATGCCCTAACCCACCCTTATTTAGCATATCCTTAGTGCATACAGGACTAGTATTCTATAAATATACCTTAAGAAAAGCTTTAGTAGAATGTTAGGTGTTTTCAGATAAGTTATAATTATGTTTCAAAAGCTGCTTCCAAAGTAGAAACTTGAAAAAGTAGATGTGGTCTTTACGCTTTAACAAATCAAACATTTTTGTGTGTGTTAATCTGTTTAGCAAATACTATTTTCTTTAATTCTAGGGTAATGTTTTAAGCATAAATGTCCAAATTGATAGCAACTAAATTAAGTTTATTTCCTTCCACTCAGTATATAATTATGAGAAAAGATACAGCAATTTATTTGAGTTATATGTTTTATCATTTTTGTCAAATACCATCTAGTATTTCTGCATATGCAGTTTTAATGATTGTGTCAGATCTCAGACTACCAAGACATGACAGTACTGATTATTATAGTTCAGGATAGAGGGAGGCCAACTCTGTGCTGAGGGTACAGCGGATGTGTAAGTTCTAACACAAGGGCCATGTGGTCTTACGGATTCAGACTAAAACAGGTATACAAGCCACTGATGTTTAGTTTAGGTTATGTTCCTTCCATTACCTTATGAACTGGTCTAATCACTTAATTTTATTGCCTAAGTCCTCATAAAAGGGACATTATGAGGAAGAAGTCCTGTTAAACTACCACTAAAATAGCAAGACTATTGAATAAATACAAATTAACAACTTAGAACATCTGAAATAATAATTTGAGTCATTATTTTACCTGTTGAGTAATAATTTTGACTTACATGATTTCACGTGGTGATACTTAGCCAGGGGAGAGCCAGAATTTCAGGGGTAGAAGGAATAAGGTAGTGTAGTGTGCTGTAACCTGCCAAAACATATTCAGTGTTAGAATTTCATACTTAAAAACATATACAGAGTCTGTCTTTTGAGGGTACACTGTATGTCCATTTTATTCAGCACCATATACTCAGTGTATCTAGCACAAGGCCTGACACACAGTAAGTATTCAACAAATATTTATCTTCTAAGATGAGTGAATGAATGAACAAATAAAACAAGTAACAAATAAAGGAAGAATAATGTATAGCTCGACAAAATCATTCTTACTGATTAGTGTGTTCTGAAGGTAGACTTTATTTTCTGTTTATTGGAGATTCTCAAGGAGGGAATGTGAGATTTTTGTGTCTATCAATTGGGTAGTTTGAAAGACTGGGAATTATTATTTATTAATCTAACAGGTATCTAAATTAGTTTGGGTTTTTTTTCCTTTCTTTTATTCATTAGTGGAGATAATGATACATTCTGTATGTTTTTTGCCTGGGTAGTAAGGAGAGGCAAGAAAGATAACAGTTGTGAAAGTTTGAAGTCCTATAAGATATAAAGCCCTGTCCTTTTTTGTTTAATTGTTGTTTACAGGCTGCCCAAGTTATATCTTTGTGAATTCTGTCTAAAATACATGAAAAGTAGAACTATTCTACAGCAGCACATGAAGAAATGTGGTTGGTTCCATCCTCCTGCCAATGAGATTTACCGAAAGAATAATATTTCTGTCTTTGAGGTAAGGTAGATGCTTAGTAGTTGCCATTCTATCCATTTCAAAAACAGTGCCACCTGTACTGCACCTAATTGTGCAAATTGATTTTTTGGGGGGGGAATGTTATTTTACTGTTGTACACTCACTATTGAATCAGATTATCAGCTTTATGAGAAGCAGAATTAGGCCAACCCAAATGGTACCAAGTTCACAAGCTTGACCGCAAAATAAATTATTCTGTATTTCATTGAATCAAAGACATCAGTTATAATATGCCTATTTTATGTACCATTAAAAAGGAAAAAGTATTACTAATTATAATTTTTTAGAACTTCATTTGGTTATTTAATGATTTTGTATATGTTAAGATGTGATAAAAGTACATCTTAGAATCTATGAAATATGGCATTTAAATCAAAGGAATTCTATTTATTTAAAAGGAATGTCTCACAGAGGTGTGTTTAATGGCATTAGTAAATCTTATTATGATGATATGACTTTTGATATGTCTGTGATTCTGTGCTGCTGTTAGTAGTGGTCCTTAATTTCTCCATCCTGAGTTCTGTGGTTTGAGTGCCAAGTATTTATTAGATCCTGTGTTCCTCGTTAATTACTACAACGATAGAATTTCAGATTGTCAGGTCCATTCAGTCTCTTACTTTCCTGGTCTTCCCTAAGACTTTATTTTAGGTGATCAATAGAGGAGCTCTTTACCTTGGGAGAAGGGGGGGCCAGTGTGGTATACAGTACTGTTTCAGAACACCCGAAAGCAAATTGCTTTTCAACTTAAGCATATGTTGGTGGGTATTTTAAAAAGTGATATTAAATTACTTAGATTGTTGAGGAATTCAGTTAGTATGGCAGACAGTGTCTTGGGAGCTAATATGGACAGCCGTTGGCATTTTTTCATAAAAGAGCAAGCTCTAGCAACTCCAAGAACACAGGGCTGTCAGGAGCAGCAGAGCATAGTGCTCCTGAGCTTGGCCAAGCTGAGTTTCATTTGCCAGGTTGTTACCTAGGAAACATACTTGGCGCTACTGCTTGGCAGTAGTTAATACTCCCTCAAGTAGCTTTATTTGGGGGTAAACCTGATCATGCTTGTCAGACTACATTGCTTCAGGCTACTGTGGAGAATAGATTACAGTTATATCTTGTTTTACCTAATAAATGTATTTTAGAAAGATTACATTTAAATCTTTTGTTGAATTAAATACTTTTGAAAATTAAGCTTGCTGTCCCAAGGATTTCTACGCTTAATCTTTTTACAAAAGCAAAAAAAATGCTATTTTAAAGCCAGATTATCATCTCCATATCTAACTATTCCTGCTTTGTTCAAGTATACACTATTTTATGTATTTGATTATCTTAAAACAGCAGGTACCATAATACCACCATTTATTTCACACGATAACTTCTAGGTTCCAGTGTGTTCTGGTCACTGACAGCTTCTCTTCCATAGGACTGTGGATACCTAGAGATGCTTGGAACTGATACGTATTATTCTAGAACTAAAGAGACACTCTGGTTACCATTTTGTTCTTTTTTTTCCCTCTAGGTTGATGGGAACGTGAGTACCATTTATTGTCAAAACCTGTGTCTCTTGGCAAAGTTGTTTCTTGACCACAAAACACTCTATTATGATGTGGAGCCATTTCTTTTTTATGTTCTAACACAGAATGATGTCAAGGGCTGCCACCTTGTTGGCTACTTTTCTAAAGTAAGTATGTCAGCTTAAAATGTGTTTGAATTCATACGGAAATCTGAAACAATCTTTGTTGGTTCTCACTAGACGGCACTACAGGTGTCATCCAGCTTTTTGGAAAGGAAAATAGAAGGAACATTCAGAAACTTACCAGGTGCTGGAAGATGCCTAGTAACATTCAGCAGCCTATATTCTCCTAGGAACATGAACTGCTGGCAATACTCAAGAGGAAAAGTTTTTAAATGACTTCGATTCCCATGGTGATAATAGATAGAACTTGTGAAATAAACAGTCATTACCTCTGAGTTCTTTCTCAGTTTAAACCATCTCTTCCTAATTTGAATTTTAGGCACAGAAATAAGAGTAAGAAGCCATTTTTATTAAAGGGTGTTTCTCCTTCCTTAATCTTTCATTCCCTTGGCAGGGGGAATTTCTTTTCTAGTCAAACAGCATAAAAGTTTATTTTTATTTAAACAAGCCATGGTAAAAATCTAAGCCTATAATACAGTTCAATGGGAAATGCTAGCTTTATTTAGAGTTCTTTAAGCTCTATTTCATTAGCTAAATATGATTTAAAATATATTGACTAATTTATAACAATGTATTTGTACCCAAATTCAAGACTTTTGTGTAAAGTTAGGTGCAGCTGATAGGGAGTGGGAGTGCCCTGTGTAGCATCAGAGAAGGAAATAAAGAAAACTTCGAAATAATTGATGGATCTTCTCACTTCTGGAGTACCACATTGGTTCATCATTTGTAGCTTCGCACATTGTTTGGAACTCAGATTCCTCTGCTGATTGACACACTGTTTTTGAGTTGCAGATAATGTTGGATGGCATCGCTTTATTTTATATTTTTACTCTCCTGGAATGGTCGCTTTGTAGGTAATGGCAGTGACTTAACATTGTCCTATCTTCTCCCAGTGCGGTATTTTTTCTTGATGTACACAGCTATTCCCAAAGGACCAGGGCTGTGGTTTTGGCTGTTGGTCTTTGTTTCTTAGTAATTAGCATTAGCATTACTATTCAGTTTTACCAGCCTGTTGTTTTAAAATTTGGCTTCTATTCTGTTTTCTCGCAGGAAAAGCACTGCCAGCAGAAGTACAACGTTTCCTGTATAATGATTCTTCCCCAATACCAGCGTAAGGGCTATGGCAGGTTTCTCATCGATTTCAGTAAGAATTGTATTAATTTCTCATTATCTCTTCCTGTGGACTTTCTGTGTATATATGTTTTAAAGATTTGTAGATGATTTGTTGGCTGCTGGTATCTTTTGTCATACTGTTGTATGGATCTTTAAAACCTAAAGCCACAAGTTCCTTTTGTTTTGATTGGACATGGCATATTTTTAAAAAGCCAACATTGAATACAATTTTGTGTGATTTGTAACAAGCACCTTTAATTTGCAACTGTCCGTTTACAATGGAACTTAATTTTATGTAGTAATACTAACAATACTTAAAAGCATTATATAACTAAAATTAGTATTAATAAAGAAGTACAATGCCTGCCCTATTTTTGTTACCCAATTATCTGAAAAAAATTTGTGCATTTTTTAGTTAGGCTCTACCTAGTGGTTAAAAATACACAACACATCTTTAAAATCTTTAAAAGTGAATGATATAGGAAAGAATTTAATCTGAGTTAAAAAGTGAGAGCTAACAGTTCTAAAGAGATCATTGTGGAACTTGAGTTTTGTTTCACACATTGATAATCTTGGCTTAGGAAGTTAAATGTATGTTTGTAATAAATGTTACAATGATTACAAAATAGTGATTTGAGGGAGTATTTTCCCTCAGATATTGCTGTAAAATATTTAAAGGAATATATGTTAATAGTTCAAACTAAGGATTTCAATTCTGGTCTTGAGAAGTTAATTCTCATCTGGACCAATTAAGCTTATTCTCCTTGGCTTTAAACTATATTCTTTACCATATTTTATTGAAAATATATGCTACTAGTTATTTTGTACATACTTTCTGGCTTTTTTGGATTAGCAGCATTGGGCGTAACTCAGATTATTTCCTTTAATACATTGTTTTGAAATAGGACTCATGATTAGACATGTTATATATGCCATTAAATAGCAAAATTAGGGAAAATCTTTTATTTGTGGTGGTTAGTATTTTTGAGGTATATAAACAACAATCTGTGTGCTTATAGTATTTGTTTTTGTTTACTTTTCCTCATATATTTTTCCAGATTACCATTCTGAGGCTGCTTTTAAGTTTTCTTTAATGACCGAAAATACCACATTTTTCTGCCATCTCTGTTTTCAATTCTTTGCCCTTAGAATTTATACCTTTCTTTTCCAGTTCTTGAGAGTTATACACTAAACACTCGCACACTGTGGGCATTCTTGCTTGCTAAGAATTAGTGTGATAGGTAAAATTGTGAGGGGAGCTTTGGTAAAGTGAGAAAGTACCATCTAATTTGCTCACAGAAGAACCATAATCTTAATAGGATTACATAAAAATTAAGGCATTCTTTTGTATTTCTCAATTTAGATGTAACAGTTGCCATCTAGTGGTCCACATAAAGCAAGGGTGGTGTTCCTCCCATAGTGCGTTGAACTAAAGAGCAATGTTGCCCTGATCTTAGGTAATGCAGCCCGTTAGTATAATAGAAGTCCTATGTTTTAACAGTTTGAATATTTTAACAAGATAATTTATATTAACTGTAGACAAAATAATACTTACCTAATCTTCAGTACCTGGAAATTATGTAACCTTTCATCCAATTTGTTTTAAAGTAGTCTTTGCAATTTTGCTCTTTTTTTTCTTTTGAAGTAATTTACCTTTGAAATTATACTTGGATTGGTTGTAGAAGAGGGGATTGCTATTTTGGTGAATCAAACTTTTTTAGGGTCTCTGACATATTTGTGATTTGGGGGTTTCTTTAGGTTATTTGTTATCAAAGCGTGAAGGCCAAGCGGGGTCTCCAGAGAAACCGTTATCCGATCTAGGTCGTCTTTCCTACATGGCTTACTGGAAAAGTGTAATATTGGAGTGCCTTTATCACCAAAATGACAAACAAATCAGCATTAAGAAGTTGAGCAAGTTGACTGGAATCTGCCCTCAAGACATCACTTCCACACTCCACCACCTACGAATGCTGGACTTCCGTAGTGACCAGTGAGTGTCACATTCCTTTGTGTACCTTCGAAAGAAAATCAAGGGGAAGTTTTTGGATCAGGCAGTCGGATTATTGATGAAAGGCCATTAAGTGGTACCACTTGGTGATGATGAGACATCATTTTCCTTTCTATGATACTTAATTTGATTTACTGTGTATATATATTTTTTAACTTTTTCTGGTCTTCCTCCTAACTTTTGGACCTAAGCTACTGAATGTTTCATCTTCTAGTATTGGTAGCTTTTTCATAATACAAGAAGTAATAACTCGGGCCGGGCGCGGTGGCTCACGCCTGTAATCCTAGCTCTCTGGGAGGCCGAGGCGGGCGGATTGTTTGAGCTCAGGAGTTCGAAACCAGCCTGAGCAAGAGCGAGACCTCGTCTCTACTAAAAATAGAAAGAAATTAATTGGACAACTAAAAATATATAGAAAAAATTAGCCGGGCATGGTGGCGTATGCCTGTAGTCCCAGCTACTTGGGAGGCTGAGGCAGTAGGATCGCTTGAGCCCAGGAGTTTGAGGTTGCTGTGAGCTAGGCTAACCCCACGGCACTCACTCTAGCCAGGGCAACAGAAGTGAGACTCTGTCTCAAAAAAAAAAGAAAAAAAAAAGAAGTAATAACTCTAGAAACAACACCATTACGTAAAATATGCCCACAATTAATTTCCGTGTAAATGGTATAAAGTGAAATATAGATTCAAAGGAAGAACATTTCACCCTTACCTGAAGTGGTCCAAAAAAGCTCACAAAGAAAAGAGGCGTTTGAGCTAATCAGAGAATAGGAAAGAGAGCAGCGAAACTTCAGAGGGGAAAGAATGAGGCAATAAATGGTTAAAATAACCCATTGCTGTGCTAGAAAGTGAAGTGTTTGGCCAGCTTCTTATTTATTAGCTCTCTCACCGACAGCGTGTTTCCATATTTCATCTTCCCATGCAGGCCATCTTTGAAGCATTCATCGTCTCCTTCAGGCTTTTCCAGGGGTTATACCTCCTTATTCATTTATTTACATTCTGTACCTTGTTGATTGCTATAAACTTTTCTCTGGTTCTAGATTTGTGATTATCCGCCGGGAAAAGCTTATCCAGGATCACATGGCAAAGCTTCAGCTGAATTTGCGGCCTGTAGATGTAGATCCGGAATGTTTGCGCTGGACGCCTGTCATAGTGTCCAACTCTGTTGTCTCAGAGGAGGAAGAAGAGGAGGCTGAGGAAGGAGAAAACGAAGAGCCACAGTGCCGGGAAAGAGAATTGGAGACCAGTGTAAGGGCTTGAATCGTCTCTAATTTTGATGACAGAAGATGAATTTTGGTTTTCACGAGTATTTGTGATATGTATTATGATATCTTACCGACAAAGTAAATTCACATTAGAATCTCAGTTTTATTTCAGTGGTAGAAATTTCAGGAAGATGAAATCTGGTTTATTTGTGTATTTTTAAGCCTTGAACTATTAGGGAGATCATGGAATTTCTTATAACGTGTTACTTATGATTAAATATTTCTTACCAGAGTGCTAATAAGCAGTTCAATTTTAAGCTGTACAATAATTGAGGAATGCAAATTGAATCTAAATCTAACAGTTGTTAAAAGTGAAGATACATTTTCCTTAAAGTAGAACATTAAGGAATTAAACATTTATGTTTTCAAATAATGCTGAAAAGTTCCATGGATACACAAATGTTTTAAGCCATTAAAGGCTTGATGATAGACTGTGTTGTATTTTCTTCATGTGACACATTTTTGGTTCTTTTTAAAGCATTGCTTCACCCTTTTAATATCCATGTCCTTCTTTGATAAACATAAAAAAATCTCATGTCCCTCTTTAGTGCAGTTTAATTTTCAAAATGAAATTATTCAGAATAAAAATAAGTCATATAATTACATAAATTTTCTTTCATATTTCTCCAATGCCTCCTTCCTCTTGCCCATGCCCCAACATCTGTGTCTTCCCTGTTCATGAATTTTTACTTCTGAGAAATTTCATAAATAATCTCATTTAACATTAAAAGAACATTAATGTTCACTTTGCTTGCTGAAGATGGTATTCCATTGGTGTTAAGAGCACGAGCTGTGGAGCCAGACCACCTGGGTTAGTGCCCCAGCTGCTTCCTGTACATTGAGCGACCTGGTGCAGCTCGCTCGCCTTTTTGTGTGTGTGCCTCAGTTACCTCATCTATAAAATGAGGATATAGTGGTAATACTTAATATGATCCTCGGGAGAATTAAATGAATAATACAGATAAAGCATTAAAACAGTGCCTAAGTGTAGGAAATATTCACATTAGCTATTAAATAATTGTTCATTTTCTTTTTAAAGCTCAGTTTCGTTTACTTATCTCAGCATTTAAAAGGTCAGAATAGGTAGATACAACCCAAATAAGACTGAAAAATTAACCAGCATTGTTTCATTTTCTAAAATCAGGTGGGAAAGTCTGTGTCTCGAGAGGACAAAGAACAAGATTCTTATTCCTCAGTAGAAAGTGAAAAGAAATCAGAAGTTATGGCTCCAGTCAGTTCTACACGTTTGAACAAACAAGTGCTTCCCTGTGACAGTCTTCCCGCAAACAGTCAGCCGCCTCCTCGGAGGGGTCGCTGGGGGAGGAAGAACAGGAAAACCCAGGAACGTTTCGGTGATAAAGATGCTAAACTGCTCTTGGAAGAGACATCATCAACTCCTCAGGAACACTATGGAGAATGTGAGGAAAAATCGGAAACCTCCCAAGAACAGTACACGGAAAGTGAGGAGCAGTCGGGAGCCTCCCAGGAGCAGCCCAGCCAGGACGGGCAGCCAGACCCTCCCACGAGGAGACTCAGCGAGGGGGCTGAGCCCTGGCGAGGGCCGCTGCGTAGGAGCCCCGAGGCTCTGCAGTGCAGGCTGCCAGAAGGGAACGACAGGCTGCCTCGGCGCTACAGCGATGGCGACAGGGCGCTCCTCAGGGGCTTCAGTGAGAGCAGCGAGGAGGAGGAAGAGCCAGAAAGCCCTCGGTCAAGCTCGCCACCAATTCTCACAAAGCCCACACTGAAGCGAAAGGTAACACGTTTATTTATGTGTCTTCCTCCTCCAGTTGCAATTTATTGCACACATTTGTTCTGTCTTACAGTTCTGAAAGAGTAAAGTTAGAAATTCCTAGTGTGTCATTTTATAAACTTTAAGCCTCAGTGTATCGTAGCTTATGATCTTTCCAGTGAGCATTGGAAAGTGTGCGTGACTTCTTCTATTTATGGCAGTGGACTTGGGAATCATAAGCTTATTTAAGGGCTGACAAACTGTTTTTCAGCTTGTTGGTTTGGTGTTCAAATCATGACTTTCAGGGACTTTAAAAATATTTTAAAAGTATGTACAGATTAGGAGTGTTCATATTAGAAAGGAAGATCCTTTATTACATAGTCAGATGGGAAGTGAGCATAGTGGTGCCCTTATATTTTGGGGCACTCAGAGTACAGTCGCTCATCCTGTCTTTGGTGGTACTGTTTTCCCTGTTCTCTCTCCCCTCCTCCCATGTCACTCCAGTGGTTTGACTTGATCTTATTGTAAAAATATTTTCTAGATTGTATTTCATCATCTTGCAGTGTTTGAATGACAGCCAATTATTAGTAGTTCATAAATGTAGATTATGATAATGAATTCTCTTAAACTATGTACAGAAACATCCTAGGCTGGGAGTAGACTTTGAGCACTGCCACAAGGCAGCCAGACTAAAGTGTGACAGCCCCCCTGCAAGCCCCACTCTGTGGTAGCAGGTGACAACTTTCATCCAAAGCAGTTAAGTCATTCTTTTCCTCAGCAAAACACGAGGCAGAGCCATTTTTTTAAAATAAGCTTTTTAGAACAGTTTAGGATTTACAGAATTATTGCAAAGAAAGTAGAGAGAATTCCTGTGTACCCCACATCCAGTCTCCCCTGTTATTAACCCTCTGACACTGGGTTGGTGCATTTGTCGCAGTTAGTGAGCTATGTGGATCCTTAGTAAGTAGACTTCATACTCAGTTCAGAGTTGCAGTTCTCCCTAATGTCCTTTTGCTGCTCCAGGGTCCCATCCAGCATACCACATTAAGTTTGGTAGTCATGTGTCTTTTGGTCCTTCTCGGTTGTGACTGTTTCTCAGACTGTCCTTGTTTGTGATGGCCTTGATAGTTTTGAGGGTGACTGGTCAGGTATTTTGTAGGATATCCTTCATGATACTAGAATCAGGTAGTATATTTTTGAGAGGAAGACCATAGAGGTAAAGTACCATTCTCATATCATATAAAGGGTATCTGCCAGCATGTCTCTGTATCAATATGTATCAAATTCAGGGCATTTACTGTCAGTGTGACTTTTCACTGTTGAAGTTAACCTTGATCACCTGCCTTAATAAGGTAGTGTTTGTCAGGTTTCTCCACTGTCAAGTTACTCCTTTTCTCCCCTTTTCCATATTGTACTAGAAGGAAGTCACTGTGCACAGCCCACACTTAAGGTATGGAGAGTTATGCTCTCCCTCCTAAGAGCAGCATATCTGCATAAATTATCTGGAGTTCTGTTCGGGTGATTTATACTTTCTCCACCATCTATTTATTTATCCAAGCATTTATTTATATCAGTATGAACCCAGATATTTATTTGATATTTCAATTTATAATCCAATACTACTTTTTTAAAATTTGTTGCTTGGGCTGGGCGCAGTGGCTCGTGCCTGAAATCCTAGCACTTTGGGACTCTGAGGTGGGAGAATCACTTGAGCCCAGGAATTTGAGCTTGTTGTGAGCTATGATGATGCCACTGCACTCTACCTGGGGCGACAGAGTGAGACCCTGCCTCAAAACAAAACAAAACAAAAATTGAAATTGTTCAAGCTTCGGCCATTAGGAGTCTTTTCAGTTTTGCTCATATGTCCCTTTAGCATATATAACGTCATCACTGTGGGGTTTTTTGTTTTGTTTTGAGCACTTTCTTACTTTGTGGCACTACGAGATGCTCCAGGTTCATCTTGTATGTTTCACACCCCTGTCCTCAAATCAGCCATTTCTCCAAGGAGCTGGGATGTTTTTAATCTAATTTGAAAATTATATTCTCAATTAGAACTAGTAAATTTGAAGTAGGGGAAAATCGAACATTGAGTAACTCTACTGTTCAGTCCATGATCGGGAGGAATAAATTCTTTGCCATCCTAGGGCTCATAGTGCCTGTTTATAAAGTAAAGCAGATTGTGCTATTTTCTTATATGAATAAAAGAATACTGTAGCAGGCAGGGAAATTATGTGCAGAGTACTTCGAAAGTTCTTGAAGAAATTCACTTGACTGGGAATCAGCAGACTGTATGTTATAACCATTTCTGTACCAAGTAGAAAGGTGACCTTAAGCAGGTCCTATGACCTCTCTGGCCTCTATAGAATGAGGGGATTGGATTAGACATTCTCTAGGCTATTGTCTCTTATTTTGTGATACCAGTTGTGTAATTTAAGATATTAGGTCAACCCAGTGCAAAATTGTGCCAAATATGCCAAGTTCCAATCTCAGATTTATTTGACTACTGAAATGCTTCACTAGCACCAAGTAAATACGTTTCAGCTCCGTATCTCTACATTCCGTTGTAACTTTGTATGGAGGGCTTATGAAAACGGCATACAGCTCAAATAGTTCTGCTAACCTTTGGAGCAGTGCTATGAGGCAAATAAAGTGTTTTTAATCCTTTTTTGCTCTTAAAGAAAAGAGAAGTTTAAGGGACTAGCCTCTGGGTCATTTCAATATTGAAATAAGCAACTCCCTTGGGTGTTAAATTTAACTGAATTATTAACAAGAGAATTATAATATCTGCTATGTGGACATGCCTGCCTGTTTTTATTTTTTTTCATACAAAGTTACATTGAATTATCCAAAATTTTTGTGTCCATAATACTGTGTGTGTAGTGTCCTGCTATAATATTTTGAAATAACTTTCAAAATGTCTTTTGGCAAACAGCATCCTCACTTTATATGTGCTAATTCTATTAGGTTTTAAAACTGTTCTCATGTTATTAACAGAAAAGATAGCATTCATTATTACTGTAAATAAAATACTTGCTTTCTCTGTTAAATAGAAACCAATTCTTCATCGAAGAAGGAGAGTCCGAAAGCGCAAACACCACAATAGCAGTGTAGTCACAGAAACCATTTCTGAGACTACAGAGGTGTTAGATGAACCTTTTGAAGACTCTGACTCTGAGAGGCCAATGCCAAGATTAGAACCCACCTTTGAGATAGATGAAGAAGAGGAGGAAGAGGATGAAAGTGAACTCTTCCCTAGAGGATACTTCCATCGTTTGTCCTCGCAGGATGTTCTCAGGTGTCGATCCTCTTCTAAGAGGAAGTCTAAAGATGAAGAAGAAGATGAAGAATCAGATGATGCTGATGGTATGTTGTACAGAACTTACTTACTGTGGTTTTATGGTCTTTAAGTGTACAGCAGTAATAGCGACAGACCCTTCCGCAAAAAGGCTAAAAAATGAACACAACCAACTAAGCAAAAAAAGGAAGGCTTGGCAACCACTAAAAAGTTGTATCAAGTATGTCCATCCCCGTTTTTTCATATGTTTCCCCTTGAACTCAGGGGAAAATATCCTCTGGAGAAAATATCTTATTGTTAGGAAACTTCTTTTTTGCCTGAGTTTTTCCCAGCCTTTATCAAATCTTTAGTTAATGGCTGAATGGGACTTAGCGTCAGGAAGATGTAATAACCCTACACTAGAATGTGCGCTCTCTAGACTTAGCCTCTTTAGTTCACTGCCGTGTGTTGAGTGCTCAAGATAGGCACTCAGTACGTGTTGTTCAGTGAGGAGTACTAACAGGCACTTCTTCAGTAAGAACAGATTCATATAAAATGGAACTTGGTTCACATCAGTTGAGGAATCCTTTCAGAATCACATCTAATATGTCTTACTCAGCTGGTAGTAGATTTTTAATAAATAGTAACAATAACTCAAAATAAGTTAAATTTTATGGTGTAGATAAAAATCTAATTATTTACTTTAAAATAGCCTTGTTGTCATTTCCTCTGTAAAGATAGAGAAACTGGGGCTCATGTAGATGAGCCACGTCAAAAACTAGTCTTGTTTATCCTGACCTAAAGTTTTTGCAGATTTTTCATGCTGCCTGCATTTGTAATATGTTTGCCTTGCATGGGCTCTAAATGAGCTTTTTTTACTTTGCTGTGTAAATCTGAGGAAGTCTAGTTGTCCACCCTTGGTACATAAACCTTTAGCTTTTATGCATTAACTGGTTGAGTTTTTTATTCTACTTTTTAAAATAAATTCACTTGATTTCAAGTCTAGTAGATAACTTGCATTTTCTCCATTCTCATATTTTTATGTAACAAATACTTTTAATACAGCAATAAGATGACTGAGTTTTGTTTTAGTGTGAATAATTCTCCAAGGTTTTACTCATATTATATTTTGAGATATATAACTAGGAAATTAAAATTTTATTTTGTGAATTTGACACTTTACATTCTGTCTTAGATAATTATACACTAAAATAGTATCCCCTCATTAGGTGCCTGTCGACTTGGACAGATGTTTTGTGATACAGCTGTTTCCTTTGTTGACTTTCAAGTTATTACTGCTAACTTCTCCCCTCCAAATCTTGTTCTTGCCTTAGTGTTCTTTTCCTTTAAAAATTAATGGGGATTGTAAATGTACTTAATGCCAGTGTACACTTAAAAATGGTTAAAATTGTAAGTTTTATGTTGTGCATATTTTACCACAATTAAAAAATAATGGGGACACAATAATTCTAATATCAAATTTATTTCTAATAAACATCATTGGTGCTTTAACTTTGTGTTATTTGTCTAGGACTAACTGCCTTGAGCTGTTCCCATGCAGACACAGCACTGATGGAACAGTTGTTCACACAGGACGGCTCGTTTGTGGCCTGGAGCAGTAGGCTCATGGCACTACTGAAGTAATGATTTTGAGGAAACTAAGAGAATCAGAGAACATACATCCCAGGCCAGGGGTGGGGGTTGCGGGGAATAAACTGATTTGTAACTTTCAGTAGAGACAACTTGATAAAAGCACTACTTTTTTATTATCTTTATAAAGCTTATCTCCATTTTATAGATGATGAAACTGAAACTTAGAATCACTTTCCAAAGCCATACAGCTGGCGATGATGAACTGGTTTTAACTAGTGCCTGGTAACATAACGTTGACCAAGATTCTTTCTACCAATTCACTGCATGACTTTAAAAGATGTCATTAGTTAGGTTTATCCATTAGGTTCTTACCTTTAAAATGAAGATAATCAGGAGTTAATAAAAGTGATGATTAGTAAAGTCATTTCTGTGGTACATGCTGCTCTCAGAAGAAGGCACTGGAAAATACAAGATCTTTTAACCTGTCTTTATTATTTTTTATCCTTCCTGTATAGACACTCCTGTCCTAAAGCCAGTATCTCTCTTGAGAAAATGTGATGTGAAGAATTCTCCACTTGAGCCAGATACATCCACACCTATGAAAAAGAAAAAGGGGTGGCCCAAAGGCAAGAGCCGCAAACCAGCCCACTGGAAGAAAAGACCTGGGCGAAAGCCAGGGTTTAGGCTGAACCGGGAAATCGTGCCCATTTGTACTCAAGAGTGCATTGTTGGGCCCATTGTCCCCACTCCCAAATCTGGACGTAAACCTGAGATTCAAGAGAGTGAAGAAACTGCTGAACTGAAGGAAGACTTGCCCTTATGCGAAGGAAGGAAGGAAGAGGAGATGCACGTGGAAGCAGAAGAGGTTGAAGAGGGAGAGGAAGAGGATGCAGCCAGCAGTGAAGTCAGAGTGGCTTCTCCGGTGGACAGCAGCAATAGTCCCGAGACCGAAACTAAAGAGCCCGAGGTGGAGGAGGAGGAAGAGAAACCCCACCTCATGGGAGAGCAGAGGCAGGCAGAGGAAGAGCAGCAAGAATCGGGAGAACAGGAGCAAGAGGAGGAAGATGAAGCAACTGCAGAGACAAACCAGAATGAAGACCACGATGCAGATGATGAAGACGACGGCCATCTGGAGTCAACACAGACAAAGGAGCTGGGGGAACAACCAGTTGGGGAAGATGTCAAGGAGGAGCCCAGTGGTCAGGAGTCTTTTTTAGGTACTAACATGCAGAACAGGGAGAATACAAAGGATAAAGATGAAACAGAGCCAGAGTCTGAAGAGGAGCAGCCTTCCCATGAGACGTCAGTGGTGTCAGAGCACATGCCGGGGTCTGAGGATGATCACGAAGAAGAGTCGCACACTAAGGAAGACTTAATTGAATTAAAAGAGGAAGAAGAGATTCCTCATAGTGAACTGGATCTGGAAACTGTACAAGCAGTGCAGTCTTTGACTCAAGAAGAAAGCAATGAGCACGAGGGCGCCTACCAGGACTGTGAAGAAACTCTCGCGGCTTGTCAGACCCTGCAGAGCTACACCCAGGCTGATGAAGACCCTCAGATGTCCATGGTTGAAGACTGTCATGCTTCAGAACATAACAGCCCGATCTCCTCTGTTCAGTCTCATCCCAGCCAGTCTGTCCGTTCGGTCAGCAGTCCCAACGTGCCTGCCCTTGAGAGCGGTTACACCCAGATCAGCCCGGAACAAGGATCCCTGTCCGCACCCTCTATGCAGAACATGGAGACCAGCCCCATGATGGATGTGCCTTCTGTATCAGACCACTCTCAGCAGGTGGTGGACAGTGGCTTCAGTGATCTGGGCAGCATTGAGAGCACCACAGAAAACTATGAGAACCCCAGCAGTTACGATTCCACGATGGGCGGCAGCATCTGTGGGAACAACTCCTCCCAGAGCAGCTGCTCCTATGGTGGGCTGTCGTCCTCCAGCAGCCTCACCCAGAACAGCTGTGTGGTCACCCAGCCAATGGCAAACGTGGGCAGCAGCTGCAGCATGATGCAACAGAATAATGTCCAGCCTGCTGCGAACTGCAGTATCAAGTCACCTCAGAGTTGCGTGGTGGAGAGGCCTCCCAGTAACCAGCAGCAGCCGCCGCCGCCGCCACCCCAGCAGCAGCAGCAGCAGCAGCAGGCGCCAGCGCCACAGCCTCCGCCGCCCCAGCAGCAGCAGCAGCCGCAGCAGCAGCAGCAGCCGCCGCCGCAGCCCCAGCCCCCGCAGCCTCAGCCCCCGCCCCCTCCCCAGCAGCAGCCACCCCTGTCACAGTGCAGTATGAATAACAGTTTCACTCCAGCTCCTATGATCATGGAGATACCAGAATCTGGAAGCACTGGGAACATAAGTATCTATGAGAGGATTCCAGGGGATTTTGGGGCCGGCAGCTACTCTCAACCATCAGCTACCTTCAGTCTCGCCAAGCTGCAGCAGCTGACGAACACCATCATGGACCCTCATGCCATGCCTTATAGCCATTCTCCTGCTGTGACTTCCTATGCAACCAGTGTTTCTCTGTCCAATACAGGACTGGCTCAGCTAGCTCCGTCTCATCCATTAGCTGGGGCTCCTCAAGCACAAGCCACCATGACGCCGCCCCCAAACTTGGCATCCACTACCATGAACCTCACGTCACCTCTTCTCCAGTGCAACATGTCTGCCACCAACATTGGCATTCCTCACACTCAGAGGTTGCAAGGGCAAATGCCAGTTAAGGGACACATTTCCATCCGTTCCAAATCTGCACCACTGCCCTCTGCGGCTGCCCACCAGCAGCAGCTGTACGGCCGCAGCCCATCCGCGGTTGCCATGCAGGCCGGCCCTCGGGCATTGGCTGTGCAGCGTGGCATGAACATGGGGGTTAATTTAATGCCAACTCCTGCCTATAATGTCAATTCCATGAATATGAACACCTTGAATGCCATGAACAGCTATCGGATGACACAGCCCATGATGAACAGCAGTTACCATAGTAACCCTGCCTACATGAACCAGACAGCACAGTATCCTATGCAGATGCAGATGGGGATGATGGGGGGCCAGGCCTATGCCCAGCAGCCTATGCAGCCAAACCCTCACGGGAACATGATGTACACGGGCCCCTCCCATCACAGCTACATGAATGCTGCCGGTGTACCCAAGCAGTCGCTCAACGGACCTTACATGAGAAGATGAGCAAGAGGAGCTCGCAGTTAAAAACTTAAATATATATAAATAAAGGAACCTTTTATACTGACAAACCAGAGAAAAATGGACCTTTTTTCCAGTTAAAATATTGCTGTAGATTTAGAGGAATTTTTCTTTGGTTTATTTTATTTTTTAGAAAATTTGATCTCTTTTTTTGGGTTCATTTTGTTCTGGGTTTTGGTTTTCTTCACAATCTTGAACATTTTACAGAGGAACTCATCTAAAAAGGATTTGGGGATAGGGGAAACATGCACAAAATCTTTTCATAATTAAAAGAGCCTTACTTTCTTTACATACCACATGGACAGAATTTGTGTAAAAGTGAATTACTTTATTTTAAAATGTATGTTTCTCCTCACTGTTTGCAGCTCCCAATGTTGTCATTTTTAAATGTTATATATACATCTCAAGGGTTTACCAGACCCTTTCCTCCAAACCCAACCTTTCATTTCCTACTTCATTCCAGCAGGAGGCACTTAGGGGAGACTCGGATGGGGACATGGAGAACAACCCAAGCTCCTTAAACTTATTATTATTGTTAATATTATTATTATTATTATTAATAAAGTGAGGCAGGAACGTGCTTCTCCTTTTAAAATCCCCTCCACTCCCTACCCACACACACACACACACACACACACACACACACACACACCTCTTGAAACCTTTCCCTAAGAATGTTTCTTTATAAACGGACTTAATTGAAATCTTTGTTTTCCTTGAATCAAGTGTAATATAATTTTTTTCTTCTTCTGTTTTTTAATATTCCCACTCAGCACTCAGAGACACAAAAATACTGTAAGTCTCAATTAACAGCAGAATCTCAGAGGAAAGCTCTTTGCAATCCTAATCCAGCCTTTGGAGGAATAGAGACGGTCAGTTAACAATCAAGAAGGGGAAATTAACCTCTTGTTTTTTACCACCTGGTGAATCAGCCATAATGCACGTACACCACCGGCCTCTGTTCTTAGTACTTTGAAATGCTAACTAAGGGTCTTGATTCCTGAGCCTTTGACTCTTAACAAAACTCAAGTAGCAGTCCCCAGTGATTTGCCTCTTATATTCTTCCATAAGGTGTTGGTGGACAACTGTACATTTCAGTGATTTAAAAAACACCTGACAAACCTTTGACACTTTATGTTGGAAGAGGCGATGCAGAGTCCGTGTCAGGAGGGAGATCATGGTGTGAGTTTGATAGCTACTTAATGATACATACCTCTAGTTTTCATGTGTCTTTTGAGATACTGAGTTCATCCCCTGTGAATCCGAGCGCACAAGCCCCTCTCTGCGAGTGGCTACTAAGAAGAGGGACAGACTGACCACCAGCATAGTAGGGCAAATCTGGACGGCGGGAATTCAGCAGGGTCACGCGTTGCTCCCAACTTCGTTCTCTTCTCTTGTGCAGCCAGTTCGCCCGTTCTCTTTTTATTACTTACTCCAGGGATAGGTAAAAAATATATATATATATATTCCATCATTAGAAGATGGAAACTATTATACCACTTGGTATGTGCAGTCAAATATCCAAAAGGGGGGAGTACTGCTTAAAGAAATACCTGTAAGCATTAAATTCTCTCCTTTATTTGTACATTTTATATAGATAAATTTTTTAAAGTACTAATTAGGCATTAAATTTTTTCAAATGCACAGGTTTGTTGGTTTTTTTATACACTTTAATTGACTTTCTCAGTTGAGTGTGTTAGCTAGAAAAAGGCAGGATTCCGCGTCGTATCCGCTACCCACGCCGAGCATGTGCAGGGCCGTGTGGGGCCCAGTCTCTCTGTGCGTAGAGCGTGCCGGCTGCCCTCTCCCTGCAGCTGCAGCTGTCGCTTCCTGGTGGG